TAGACATAAATAACTTTTATCATATATTTCTTAAGTCAACACCCGTGTTGTACACGAGTATTGTACTAGTTGGTGTTTGTATACAAAATATATCATTCACGTTTTAATTCGTACTCAAAATTTAAGTCAATTTTAACTCAACACCATTATTTTTAATATTATTCATATCAATATTTTAAAAATCGTACCGGTCGTCATACCGGTGTAGCGACCGGTATGCGGTATTACCGGTACGACCGGTATTACCGTCTAGGTTTTAATAAATATTAAATTAATTTGTTATTATTATATAAATAATATACAAAACTAACTTTAATTAATACTAAAATAAATTAACATCTAATAACAATATAAACATATTAAAGTTAAGTGTAGAAATTTCAATTTATATAAATAAAATAATAAAAATCTATTGAAAATATTTTTTAAAAAAAATGGCATAAACCGGTATTTTGACCGGTATTTTGGCCGGTATTTGCCGGTAAAACCGGTATTTTCCGGTACGAAACCGGTATTTTGGCCAAAACAGTATTTTGAGTGTAAATGTACTGGTCGGACCATCGGTATCCGGTATTACCGGTAATACCGGCCGGTACGAACCGGTATTTAAAACATGGATTCATATAATTAAATAATACAAATTCACTATCCATTCGCTCGCATAATGTTAACTAACTGTCAATTCACATCATTTCTCTTCTACTTTTAGATGGAATCAACTTTATTTATTTTATTTTAAGTATTATATTAATATAAACTTAAAGTTTCACTAACAACTAATCATATCATGCATCTTTTTCAAAATTAACTCTGGTTATCCAAAAAAGCTTATTTTGAGCGGATTAATTTGTAAACGAGCACGCATGTGTGTATATGAGTTAGGAGTCTTTAGTCTATTGTTAGTCGATGGTCCCGTATTTGAATGATGGATTTCGTGTGTTGGTCTCGAATCTGATTAGTCGTAGCCGTTTTGGAGTTGTGGAGTAGGATTTGCGTTCTAGTGTCGAGATTCTGTTATTCGTTGTCTGGCCATTGTTGTTTTGTTGGCTCTTGTAGCGCGGCGGTGGTGTAGTTTTTCGAAAGCTGGGGAGGACTTAGTCTATTGTTTGTGATCAGTGTAGTCTTTTGAAAGCTGTGGAGGACATAGTCTATTGTTTGTGATCAGTGTAGTCTTTTGAAAGCTGTGGAGAACTTTGTGACCTTGGATTGCGACTGGTGTTTTGTGTAAAAATTGGACACTTGTCCCATTTTTATTGGACAAGTGTATTTTATTGTTTCTAAAAAAAATACTAAAATTCAGATTTTTTTCATTACTACAAGTAGAGAACACACTTGATATATTTTAGAACACAATTGTAATTTTTTTAAAAAATTAAATAAAATAAATATTTAGGTTGAGTTGGGTTGGATATAAAGATAAATTGGGTTGGAAGATTGAGTTGTGTAGGTAGAAGAGACAGAAATAATTTTTAATTATTAAATTAGGTTGGGTTGGGTAGGGTTTAGGAATTTTTAAGGGGTGATTGTTTATGAATTCATCTAGAAATTAATTAGTTTTTTTCTAACTATAGTTAATTTTGAAAAAAGTTGGTATGGATAGTTGTTAGTAGATATATTAAAATAATATTTAAAATAAAATAGTTAAAGTTGTATGATGTAAAAGTAAGAGAAAAATGATTGGAAGTGATGGTTAGTTAAAATTATGTGAGTGGATGAATAGTGAATTAAAGTTGATGTGATGTGTAAGAATGATTAGTTGAATGATTGGTTTATATAATTTAATTATATTGATAATATTGGACATAGTGAGGTTGAGTTAAAGTTGAGTTAAATTTGAGTTTTGATTGATTTTTTTTGGGTGAATTGATAAACAATCACCCCCTAATTAGATATGAGATTATATATATATATATATACATATATATATATATATATATATATATATATATTTTTGAAAACATTTCACAAAAGAGTGAAAATAATTACTTTTATAAAGAGTGAGATAATTTTGACATCTAGTCTGGTATCACGAAGGGTGTGTTGAGAAGGGGTGAGAAAAAATATTTTTTAAAAAATGAGATAAATTTGATATCGTGAATGAATAATATAGACTAAAAAAATGTAAATGATAAGAATTGTTGTGATGAATAAAATAATAAATAGTAAATAATAAAATTAATAGTTAACATTATGTGTGTTGATGAATAGTGTCATCGCGTGAAAAATATAATAATGAATACTTTTAAATTTTTAGTTGTTTTAGTGAGATTATGTAGAAAAATGTGAGATGATATAAATAGTAAAAGAGGTTGATTAAGTTTATTTTATTTTATTTACATTTTATTTTATTTATTTTCAATATGATAAATATCGATCGAACATACAAAACATTTTTTTTATTTTTTTTCTATATCCAATCACGCGGTAAGAGCCTATATTCTTTTGTTAGGACAATAATTTTTTTCCCCATAATTATACCTATTTTCACTACAAAACGACTTATATACTTCATAAAAAGATAAGCAAAATTATGATTTTTTATTGTATAAATATGTATTTATGTTCACAAAATATGATGGTGTTTATTCCTCGGCTAATCAATGGGTCGTCCTACACAATAATTTGTAATATTCAAACCAAATCATACTAAACTGAATCTCTATGTTCTATGTGTTACATTGTATTAACCGTACCTTTTAATTGAATCGAAACCTTTGTCATGCATATCTTAAATTTTGCTAGATTACAAATTAATTAAGTCTAGTACGTCACGTAACGAGACAATAAACACGTAAATTTGAGACTTAATTTGCAATTCAACCCTTGTAATTTCATCACAAATCCTTTTATGAGGCAACCTAACAGTTAAACGAGTCTTACTACACGAAACAAAAATGAATACTTATACAATCAAATGTCAGTATCTTTGTTTATGTTTCATATAGTTGTTTCCAAAGTATAACATTTTTAAATATTATATAAAATAAGTATGTCAGCCTAACGATTAGGTTGGACGAACACAAGACTCATATAGTTTTATAATTATTTTTTTTTTGTCCATCATAAAATATCTCCCTTTAACTCCACATGGGCCCCACCCCCACCTCCACCCCCACCCCACCCCACCCCACCCTTATATGATTCCAAACCAACACAACACACCCATCATTACAAATTTACACACATTTCAACCGTGACCACCCCTCATTTTCCTCGTCCTATTTGATTCTACACCCTTTTTTTTTCTTTCTTTTTTTTTCACAACACTTATTTCGGACCGTGACTTTGTGTAAAAACTGAAAAGTGCTAGTGACTAGTGAATAATAAAGATTGAGAGAGATAGAGAGAAATATATATATATATATAGAGAGAGAGATGATGAAGAGAAAATCCGGCAATTCTTGCAGCTCATCGTCCTCGTCATCGTCCCAAAAAGTCGAGCCGCATACCACGAAAACCAACAACACGCTCGATAAACCGGTCGAGCCGGTCAAGAAACCGAGGCGCGTTAGGACCGGCAAGAAATCGGCAGCCGATGCACCTGATACCTCTGCCACGTCATCCAAATCAAGAAGCTCAACCTTCAGAGGTGTCACCAGGTGTGTGTATGTATATATATTAATTAGTAATTAATTAATTTTTTTTAGCTGAAATCTTGTTCTTGCATGTTATGAAGTGCATGCATGCTATCAATTTCTTTAAGAAAAAAATTTATTTATTTATTTTTATATATATATATATATATATTTTTTTTTTTTAAAATAATGTTAAGTAAGGGTGGTGGTGCAGGCATAGATGGACCGGGAGATTTGAGGCTCACCTGTGGGACAAGACTACTTGGAACAGTATTCAGAACAAGAGAGGAAGACAAAGTGGGATTTTCTCTCTTTTTTTTTCTTTCATTTATTTATTTATTTTAGTTATTTAATTATTTAATAATTTTAAAAACTTGTGATTTAATTTTATATTTTTTTTTTTACTAACTTTCTTGAGAGTAACAAAAAAGCTTGTAACAGTTTTATACAAGAAAGGTGAGAGTGAAATCAAGGAGATCTGTGATCTTATTGTTTATCATATATTTAATAATTAATTCTTAACTTTTGTCACATGTTAGTTAATCATGTTTTTTTTACTGCAGTAATTAAATCAAATTAATTAATTATATAATTAATTAATTGAAATCTGACTGAATTCAATTTTATTGTTTGATATGTGGGATGATCCCTAATTGGGCTGCATCAAAATCGAAATGTCGCTGTCACAGTCTATTTAGGTGAGCCCTCAATCTACTGATTTATTTTAATAATGTTAATAAATTAATATGTTGTCATTTATTTATTTATTTATTTATTTCAATAATTATATGTGCATGCAAGTGTTAATTAAGAATATATAATTATTGGGAAATTCTATAGTTTCGTTACGGAACCATCATGTAATTGTCATGAACAGTTGATCTAATGGTTACAAATTCCAACGGATTGGTTCTGTAATGTGACCGTCTTGTAATTATTATGTGAAATTGATGTGTAGGAGCTTATGATAATGAAGAGGACGCGGCTCGAACTTACGACTTGGCTGCTTTAAAATACTGGGGCCCAGCTACCATCCTCAATTTTCCTGTATGTATATATATAAATTTACTGTTACATTGGATTTTTTTTTAAATAATTTTTTAAACAATTATATTCAAGTATTTTGGAAAATGAACCAATGTGAGAATAATGTTGGACGTAAATCTGAATTAACAAAAAAATAAAAAAAATTGATATATTATGTACAGGTTTGATTGACCGAATTTGAAAATTAGTAATTGTTATTAATTAATTAATTAATGAAACTATTTTTGAAACATAATGTCCCGTTACGGAACCGTTCGGTCGGGATTTGTAACCGTTTCCCATACTTAAAAATTGTTTGACTAGTTAAAAGTTAATAATTTGACACTTAATATCAATAGTTTAAGGAGTGTATTTATTAAGGATTTTTTTTATATATCTTTTTAATTTTAAGAATTTTTGTGCGTTTAATTCAGACTTTTTAAAAAATTTAAAAAGTCTAAAAGCGTAATGTATCATATTCAATTTATCTAAATGTTTTTTTTTTTAAAATAATTTTTTAAAATCTTGAAAAAAAAAATGCATAAACCAAAACCTACCTCTTAATTTAAAATTTCTGAATATTTTATAAAAAAATAATATATATTTTTTTTAAATAACACTCAAATTGTAAAAAAGTATATCCTAATTGTAAAAAAGTATATCCTAATTTTATATATACACTCAACGGAGTAGTATATATATTGTTAAAAAAAAAATGATTAATCAAGAGCGTGCATGTCGTTGTAGATGTGGACAAATTAAGTGAGCGGTTGCGTGCATGTGGGTGCTTGACACGTGTTACATCTGCTCTGCCTTCTAAAAGCAACTGTTGCTGGGATTAACATTAATTAAATGGAATCAATAATATTTTCATTTTCTTTTATTATTACTTGTTTAATTTAAAATATTTGGGTCAAACTAAATATGACCAGTATTAATTTAATTTAATTCTTTAATTTATTTTGACTGTAAAAAAA